ACAGCCAATATAAAATACATGGAAGAAAGAAGTTGTCGTTCTTTGTCTGCTTGCTCTTATTCTCCCTAGAAAGCTTGTTCCTTCACTGGCTTTAGAGACAAGTTCTTCTGGATTCGGACATAGACTGAAGACTAGATAAAAACCCAGCCTAATGAATGGAACAAATATTGGATTCTTGGACCTTTCATTGTTAGATGGCCATTATTAGACTAGCTGAAGCACAACCTGTATGCTATTCTAAAAAATCCCCTTTCTAGAAATAAAAACACACACACACACACATAGAATATATTTTATATAAAACATTAAATAATATATTATGTCTTATTATACACTGTATTATGTTTATATTTTCTGTTCCTCTAAAAAACCCTAACTAATGTACCACCCAAATTTGTGACTTTTTAAAACCTGTTTTGTCTAAATGTTGTTTCCCAAATTCTCTGGGGTAAGGGAACTCCATAGAGCATAGTCAAGCAAACAGGAGTCACACCTTTAAAGAAGACTGATGCTTTTTCCCATTGCAGTAATGAATTGCTCATACTCTTCAGCTAGGATTGGGATTTCCTGTACATTTCGTCCATCCATGTTAAAATTTGGTCTGACTTGGGCATATGCATGCCTTCTACAGCTCTTAGATCCACTGTGAGGCCATCTATGTAACTATTCTATGTCAGGGAAATCCTGTGTCATTATACATGAACACAAACAGGGGAACTGTTTCCAACATTTCTTGCTTTTACAATCTTTCTGTCCTTTCATGATAATCTCTGAACCTAGGAAAGATGTGGATGAGATGTAGATGTTTCATTTAGGGCTGTGTACCCCATAGTCTCTAATTCTCTAAACATTCAGCTGGTAGAGATTGTTAATTGCTTTCTCCTAGGAGAAGTTTCTCTCACCCTGCACCAAACTGAACTCTAGGTGCATCACAGACCTCAACATAAACTCTATGACTTGAGATGATAGAGGAAAACTAGGGTTTATGATGGCATTTTCACATTTTTAAAAGGAATTTCTAGAGAAGATCTTGGAAGTTTAGTAATTAAGACCAATAATTGCCAACAAGAATGTGATGGTTATCCTTGGTTGTCAACTTAGCAACACCTGCACTTAAGCAAAACCCAAGTCAAGTGGCAAGGTGGAATTTTTTAATTATGTGGGATTTTTTAAATTAAATAATTTGAAATGGGAAAACCCACTTTTAACCTGGGCAGCACTTGTGCTGACAGCCTATGTAACTGGAAGCAAAAGTCAATTGAGTTTTGCCTGCTTGCACGCTCTCTCACTGGCAAGTCCATTCCTTAATTATCATTAGAACTTACTTTTTCAGGATTCTTATAATAACTGAAGACCACAAAGGACATTCAACCTCATGGACTGAACAACTGCTGGTTTCTTGGACTTTCTGTTAGTAGATAACCATTGTTGGACTAGCAGAGCCATGGCCTTTAAGAGACTCTAATAAATTCTCTTTTGTATATATAGATTCATTGTTCCACTAGAGAACCCTGAATACTATGTGGGGCCATAAGAAACTAAAATAGTTCTATATAGCATAGGACACCATCATTTGAGTGAAGAGGCAGCCTCCACCATGGGAAAATATTTATCAGTATTAGTTATACTTCTAAAAGAATATTGGTATCAAGAATGTACAAGGCATGCAGAAAACTGAACACAGAAAATAAAGCCAATTAGAAATTGGGACAAGGAACTAAACAAAGAGTTCTCAAAAGATAAAATCAAATTTACTAATAAATATTTAAAATGTTTAACATGCTTAGCCATCAAAGAAATGAAAATCAAAACTACTTTGAGACTTCATCTTGCCCGTTGAAAATGGACAGAAAATTGTTTTTAAAGTTAGAATATACTGCCATGACTATGGAAAAAAGGAAACGCTTATCCACTGTTTATAAGTGTGAAAATTGGAAAAGCTAGAGTGGAAATTAGTGTGGAGGTTCATCAAATGATAGAAATACATCTTCTACATGACATAGCTGTGCCCAAAGTTATTGCTTAGGAACATACCCAAAGAAATTTATAGCCTCTTGTTGAGATTCTTGTGCATTTGTGTTCATTGCTGCAGTAGTTACAATAACTATGAAGTGAAACAATTTAGATGGTCATCTGCTGATGAATGGGTAATAGAAATATTACATTCATAAAGTGCAACATTATTTTGCTGTTAAAATTAAAATTATGAAATTCACTCTTAATGGATGTGTCTGGAAATAGTTGGTTTTTTGTGAGAAAGGCCAGATTCAGGAAGAAGAATTGATGTATTTCTTTCATCTTTGGATGCTAGTTTTGAGTCTTTAGAAATGTATATTAAGAAACTATTAAGAGGTTACAGATAAGGTACAGTCAAGCGAGGGAAGATAGAGTGAAAGGCTATAATGGAAGAGTAATAACAGGTAGGAATGATTAAATAAGGTGATGATGGGAGAGCAAGGTAGAGTATGATAGTAGGCTCATATAAAAGGAAACCTGCTGCTGTAGAAGCTCACTAAGATATCTACGTCCTCATTTTCAAATATTTTTAAATTATTTTAAATTAAATAGACTTGTTATTTAACAGGGGTGTAATGCACTTTTAGACACCGGAGACTAGCAAATCAAAATTCTAGGACCAAGAATGGGTTACTTATTTTGGATTTTTTGCCAATGGGGTCTTTTTGATCACCAAACATTAATGCTGTTGTCATTTCTCTTGGTTCTATCCTAAAACTTGATGATAAAACTGTACTGCTGAAGATACCTTATAATTAAGTCATAAAATGTGAAGAAATCAAACTGGTACTAGTGCTGGAAGGTGTTGTGCATGCTACCAAAGAGGAAAATATATCACCGGTCTCAACCAACTGTGAACCACAGGAGTTAAAATATCAACTACCCTGAAGAAATATACCTAGGGGTGTAATAGTGGCACAAATGGTATGGGAATTACCAAACTCCATGAGAAAGAAATGATATTTAGCACTGTTGTTATGGACAAAAATTCGTGGCTAGGGCAGATTCTACTTGTATAGTTCAACTAAATGAATCCAACATTTAATGACTTATCCGTTCACCCACCTAAATTTTTTTCTCTCAATGTTCATTCACTGTCTTTACAGCAGCTCATTTCTCTTCTAGGACTATCTTGTCAGAAAAAAAATTATTTTTCATTGGGTATTACAGGAGATTCCAGTAACTTTTTCTTTTTGTTTGTTGCTTGTTTACTTGTTTGAGACCATCTCATGCAACCCAGGGTGATTTAAAATTCTCTAACCTTTAATTACTTCAATTACTTCTCTAATCTCTAAACCTTTACCATAATTACCTAGGACTTCTCATCCTTCTGTCTTTACCTCTCTAATTCTAACACTACTAGTAAGCACCAATATGCCAGGTTTATGAGATACTGGTGATAGAACCCAGGTCTTCCTGCATGCTGGGGAAACACTCTTCTGAGTAATTCTCCAGCCTAGATGCATTAACTTTTCCCTGGAATGCATCCACAGAGATCTGTACACTGAGATTAATAAAGTCTCTTGCAACACCATGCCATGTTCACCCACTTACATTTTTATGACCTAGTTCCCATTGAAAAATCATCCTCAAATCTAATTCTCTAGTTTGAATAAAGTATGAAAGTATGAACAGATCTTTACCACTATACTCATTGACATTCTTGAGGAGCTTTTCACCTTTATCATAGTGAGGCATGAACTCAGATATTTTAATAGACAGAGACAGACTTATTTTAAGAGTATTTTTTCTTATATCAAAAAGTATGCTATTTTTTACATTGTAATTTAATATCATCTAAAATCGATTATACCACATGTTTTCTCCATACATTCTAAAATTCTTTACTCTTCTTGAAAAATAATTAAATTCTAAAGAATCTATCTTTCCCAAGAACAATAATCCTGTTTTTTAGGTAAATAGATTTCTGTTTAAGCTAGGGCTAGGCAAACTTTTCTGAAAATTACTGCACACTAAATATTTTAGCTACTGAAATCTGCCACTGTACCAGTCATGAGCTGCCTGACACCCAGTGGTTATAACTGTGCTCCTGTCAAACTATTTATGGTCACAGATTTTTCATGCAATTGTCAGAGCTTTTGAAATATTATCCCTCCTACCTCAACCTAAACAGTTAAGAATTCAAAAATATTCTAGTTTGCACAGTACATAGGAAGACTGGCAGGCCAACATATAGACTGTAAACTGTTAGCAACATTGGAAGAATGGCTTCTGTTGTTAAAGAAAAGTTAATTCTGGACATGGGACAAAAGTTATCGAGTAAATACAAGGAATTTTCAGCTTAGTAGATTATAAAATATTTTCATTTCATAAGTAATCAAAATGTGGAACTGGGGCTGGATATGGAACTCTGTATTCTGTTTCAGGATTACTCTGAGAAGATAAGACACCTGAGGTTGCAGCCATCCTGTTCAAAGGGAAGCCAGTCTCAAGTTGAAGCTGATATTCCAAAAAAGAAAAAAAAAAAAAAAAAGCAAAGAACTTACTTCTTAGATGTTGTGATAAACAGCTGAATTATTTAACATATCAAATGGTTCTTCTGTGGACATGTTTTAATCCTAACAAACTCTTGATACTTGACTATGGGGAGTTTTTTATGCCCCCACCTCCAGGTTATGTGCAATTAATCTATTATTATATATTCCCCCCTCTCTTTCTCTCTCTCTGTCTACCTCTCTCTCTCCTACACTCTCTCAAACTCATTTCATTTTAGAATAATACCAAAGAAAAGAGAAAAGAAGTTAAAAAGTTCAAATTTTTGATAATACTATGAAGCTTGAATCTTCCTCAGAAAATTAATCAGTTACCCTGAATTGGTTGTAAGAAAATTACTTAAGTTTATTCCCGCCAGGACAAGATGAATATCTACTGAAAAATCATTTCTCAACCTCTCTTTGTATTTAAAAACTGCTAGACGAGAAAATGGCACAAATTAAATCACAGTATTAGCAAAGGGAGCTCACCTTTTCAAATCAAATTTGCTTTTGTCAGTATTTCCTAATATCATTCTTCTTTTTTCCCCATTTTGAAATCCAGCCTTGCAAATATGTTGAGCTTTTCCTCTACTGTGTGCAGAAATACATAGACCTGCAAAATTTCAAGGATCTTTTTATATATAAATAAGCCCCTGGATGACCCTCTATGTAAATGTAATAAAAACACTACAGCAGCATATAAATGGCTGCAATCCAGGGACTTGACCTGTCAAGTCAACAGACAACTGCTTCTTTAAACACAGTGTCTTTGCAAATGTTTCTAAAATGATCTTTAAATTTTAGAAGGTTTGTTTCATGAGAAAAAAAATCTGTCTCCACACTTGTGACTTTAAGAAGACTTAGCTTATAATTTTAGACTATCTGTATAGTGCTTAGAAATGGCATTAGAATATGATTAAATGAGTAAAAATGAAATATAAAGAGAATGCTGTTTTTTTTAAAAAAAGAAGAAAATCCATGTGATAGGAACTAACAGAGATCTGAGGAATAAAATGAGGATTATTATAAAGAAACAAAATTTCTAAATTGTCAAGGCTTTCTGGGTTTTTTGAATCTTGTTACAGCTGCAAAATGTACTATCAATCACATATAGAACATAAAATTATGCATATATGCATTATAGCAATTTGATGTAGAAAATACTTAAATGCTATAAGTCATATTCAAAAGTTGATATCGGCATGACTAATCTTACAGTTTTCAGAAGAGAATTTGAGAATTAACTATGTTCTTAAGAAAATAGAAACTACTACTGAGGCAGTATAGTTGTGGAGGAGATAAAAATGAGATTATTCATAATAGAGAGAATGAAAATTAAGAAAGCTAACAGTGAAAGTAGAGGACTCTTATAATAGAAGAGATAATTTGAATGGGTAGCTTGGTCCATTGAGGGTTGTTGCACTTGACAGAATTGCTTCAATAAATATATTTGAGAAAAAACCTTGAGACTTTCAAGAATAGAGGGAAATCATGAGAGCATTACTTTAGAAGGCTTCTGCCTTTGTGGTGAAAAGAAATTGAAGGAGAAAGACTGGATAATGAAAAAAAGTAATCTCAGTAATCCATACACTACACATTCCTTTAAAATCGTACAGGGCTGAACTTTAGTTTGATTGTCTGACTACTGAGTTATAAAGTTTCAGATCAACTCCCACTAGCAAAAATCTCCAAGAACTTAAAATACGAATTCCACAAAAGGGGAAATGTTCTAGTATGGAAATGATCATCCTGAAATCAGGGCAAATCACCTCTACCGCTCACATTTACATGGGAGTGGTGTGAACGGGGAAGTAAGCAAAATTTCAGCCTCTGTTCTTTGGCAACCTGGAAAAATATTAAAGTATATGAGGAATAATTTTTTAACTTCTCTTAGCAGATTCAGTGTTTGAAAAGTCAGACTTTTTTTTTTACATTTTTTTGATATTTATTGAGCTCTATATTTTTCTCTGCTCCCCTCCCTGTCTCTCCCCTCCCCGCTTCAGTCTTTTTCCAAGGTCCCCATGCTCCCAATTTACTCAGGAGATTTTGTCTTTTTCTATTTTCTATTTTTCTTGTAGATTAGATCTGTGTAAGTCTCTCTTAGTGGCTGCACTGTTGTATACATTCTCTGGGATTGTGGTTTGTAAGCTGGCTGAAAAGTCAGATTTAAGACTAATGAGAGCTCACCAACTCCTGCCGGACTGGGAGGGAACAAGCATAGGACCAAATTAGTCCCTCTGAATGTGGTTGACAATTGCATTGCTGGGGCAGACTGAGGGGCCACTGGCGGTGGCATCAGGATTTATCCCTACTGTATGTACTGGCTTTTTGGAATCCTATCCTTTTGGGATGTTTACCTCACTCAGTCTAGATAGAGTAGGGAGGGCCTCGGACCTTCCATAAAGCAATATATTATACTCTCTCTGAGGATAAGATGGGGGTGGGGTGGGAGGGTGTGTGGAGGGAATGGGAGGAGGGGAGGGAGTGGACTTGGATTGGTATTTTAAAAAAGCTAACAAATTTAATAAATGATACAGAAAAAAATAATGAAAATAAAAAAATAAAGTATCTTCTGTTAGAGGTTTGTTTCCTGTTATTATTTCATTTAATCTTTATTGAAATGCCCTTCTGCAAGCTACATTTTCCTAAATGGTATGATAAAACACAATAAGTAAACACTGTCATGACTACATGAATTAAAGAGTGTAGGATAACTGAAAACTGTCTCTGTCCCTCAGTCAATGCTGGTACCATATACCAAGATGTTCAATTCAAAAACCTATTTTCCCTTTAGTGAAATTTTTTCTGTATTCACATACAGCCTGGCTTTATTTTCCCAGGACTGCTCCTAAACATAACTCAGTATTTCTTTCTGTATTGGTGTCATTTTCATTTCTAATTTGTACCCCCTGAAATATTTTATTAGGTTCTCCCTTTTTTTCCTATCATATCTAATTCTTCATGAAACATGCTTACTGAAATTTAAAGATACAAATATATTTCAGTCATTCCTCGCTTGAAATTCTTTTTTGACTCCATATTCTTGGAATATAATGCAAACTGCTTTTGTTTCTAATTAGTGTTCTATGAATCTTTTGATTTATCTGAATCCTCTTTATTTCTTCAATATACATTGTGGGAGGTCCTTCTGTCTACATGTTGCTTTTGTTTGTTAATGATTAAAGAACTGCTTTGAGCCTATGGTAAGGGCAGACAGAACTTGGGGAAAGGTAGGCTATATGCTGGGAGAAAGAGGGTGGAGTCAGAGAGAAGCCATGAAGCCTCCGGAGACAGATGCTGCAAGCTTTACCCAGTAAGTCACAGCCACGTGGTAATATACAAATTAATAAAAATGGGTTAAATTAATATAAGAGTTAGCCAATAAAAAAGTTAGGGCTAATGGTTTAAGCAATGATTTAATTATACAGTTTCTGTGTGATTATTTTGGGTCTAAGCTAGCTGGGTGGCCGGGAACCAACAAACGGCCTTCTTCTAACAAATATCACTTACTATTCTTCATTTTTTAAATGGTTCAACTTGGTATGTCCTTTTACCTTTGCAATACGGTTCCCTCTGCTCACAACATATAAACTTGGATTTGTGTATTTATAGTGTCATATAGAAATTTACCTTCAATTTTGGGTACTGAGAAAGCCATTGTAGGTTACTTACTATGCCTAGTCATTCCACAACAAAAACAGAATTCAGTTTCTTCACTTTATCTTTATTAGTTATGTTCTTGTATGTACAAGTGTTTCTCTTACTGTCTGTCACACCTAGTCAAATGTTAATTTTCATTGTAGAGACATACCCCATTAACACAGTAACATTTCCCTGAAATTCTACTGATCAAATATTTATTAAGATGTGTATGCAGGAATGAATGGGTCAGCTGACCCAGGAGGGTGAGGATACTTAAGGATGTAAGCTCACTATCTGGGGAGACCACTGTGATGTTGAACTATCTGACAGATCCTTAACACACAGTAGAGTCCCATTCTTGCAGCAGGAAATTGATCCATTTCTGTGTTGCTGTTTGAATGGTTTGCAGTTACTTTCACAGAAGCCTTAATACAGTGAGTTGAGGCCGTTTCACCATCTGCTTGCTCTTTCTTGCATGCGTTGTGGGTGGAGAAATTAGAGATTTCCCTTTTTCACATTTTATTTGTTATTAGCCTTAGCAGCCCTGTTTGATGTATGACCAAACAATGCCCTCTGCTGTTTGTACCTAAAATAACATGGCCGCCTCAAAATTTCCTACTTTCAGGAAGCAGATTGTTTCCATGGTTTGCTTCACAAGACAGCTGCCTACACTGAAGAACTGGGGAGAGATGTTCACTGCACTGGCTCCAGCGATAGTTCTTTTCTTTCCTTTCAAACTTTTGCTTTTTAAAATCAGAGAACAAGAAATTATACAGCCGGTAAGTCAGGGCTTTTGTAAGTGCCCTTTAAAGGGCATGGCCCCTTAATCATCACATAATGTGCTTCATAGACCCATGAATACCATTTTTCTTAAAATATGGTTCCTGTGAGATACCACCACAATGCAGAGAAATACTAGAACAGATGAGCTGGCCAAGAGGGCAGTCACAGCTTCAGCTCTTTCTTAGCGAGAAAAAGTCAAACTCATCTCAGTCCCAAAAGACACCTAGAATCTTGACAAAACAAAATACAAAAGTAATTTGCTTTTGGTTTCTCTGTTTGCTTACTTTCTTATGATGCAAGTGGAATGCACATACCGGGCATGAGGCTTCTGGCTGTGTGTGAATCCTTTTGATCATCTCCACTTTTTGAGATTGATTATTTATGAAAAAAATGAAATATAAATGACTGAGCTGTTTCTCAAATTATATGGAAGGATTTGTGATGCCCAGAACTGTGTTTGTATTTTTATAACAACTATTTGTTTAGCAAAATGCTTAGTCAAAGTGGGAGGAGGACCTTAGAGCGTCAAGTTCCAAATTCGTCTCCGTGTTTCATTCTTTCTGGTTAGGCAGTCAGAATACTTCAGCTCTCAGAAACAAGTCTGCTTCGTATAATGCAAGCAGCATTCTTTGTGCTTATACAGTAACATCTGGGGCCTCAATACCCTGCAATTCCTATGCTTCTTTGTTTTTCTTCAGGTTCACAGGACACCAAATGATTAATGCATGTTTCTCCTTATTTCTAAAATTGCTATTTTCTTTTCATATTTCAGCATCGTAATTGTCTACAGTAGCATATTTGATAAAAGCTACTTAACGTTAGATAAGGAACTAGACAACCAGTGTACAAATACATCTACCTGAGGAGTGCTTCTTTATACCTGTCCTACACGCACCCATTAGATGCCAGTACCAATCACCAAAACTACAGTGTCTTCCAGTACTTGCAGACAATTTCTGGGGGGGGGGGTCCAAAATTATCCCTGTGATAATCAGTGGCTTAGCACAGCATGTAAGGTACTCAGTGCTACTGTGTCGTATTATTGGCCAAAACTTGTCTGCTAGGAATGCTGCACACTGCCAGTGGCACTGTCCGTTCAGTCTAAATATACCCTCCAACTTTTTATTTTCAGATCTTTTGTTTTGTCTTTTGTCTTTGGATTTCTCACTCTGATTAGTCTATTAAATT